ACCCTGGGGAGGACTGGACCTCCTACCTCATCATAGTACTTCTGCGTGTACTGGTAGAGCTGGTGCAGGGCCACAAGGGTGTTCAGGGAGTCTGTGTGTGCCTGCAGGGGGAGGCAGTGTGACCCTGCAGGCAGGAGGCTGTCCCCCAGTGGGGAAGTGTGTTGTGACGTGTTGTCACGGGCAAAAGGAGACACAAAGGGTCACAGACACACGCTGGCCTCAGACAGGTACCCCCCCAACATCCACTGAGACGTGGCAGGCAGCCGGCTCAGCCCCCTGCTCACCAGCCAATCCACCTTGCACACATGCTCACACACAGGTCCCAGCCCTTCTGGGCCCACCCTCTGCTTCTCTCCTGTGGGCATGACCTTACCCAGCCCAGCACTGCAGCCTCCTGCCCTGCTCAGCAAGGGGCTTTGGGAGAGGTTGGGGGGGTGGCTCGGCCCTGGGAGGGTCAGTTGGTGCGTCCCCTGTGGGGCCCTTACCCGGGAAATCTCTGCTAAGTGTGTGTTCATGTCCTGGTCGCTGACCTGCACCATCTGCCTGATCCCCTTGTAATAACTGTGGGGAGAGTCGGTTGGGGCAGGAGGTTACAAGAGACAGCGGGGCAGTGGGTCTGAGGGTGGACCCGAAGCTGCCCCCACCAGGGCCCTCCCCCCAGTCACAGGCATGAACCGCCCCCAAGGGACCCACAGGGTGGGGTCTGGCCTGGTGGCGGGCAGCACTCACGCTTCCACCATCTTCTTGTAGGTAGAGATCTCCTTGGCGTAGAGCAGCTTGTTGCTGGGGGAGTCCTATGGGGGTCAGAGCTGAGTGATGCCCAGGGAAGCAGGGCTGGCTGGCGCCCCTGCCCTCAGCCCGATGGAGGCAAGTTCACACCCACTCAGGACCCCAGAGAAAGGAGGGGTATTTGGGGCTGGGATCCAACTGGGTTGCTCCTCCTGCCCAGCTACAGACTGAGGGGGCTCCCAATGCTGTCAATTTCTCTGCCTGAGTAAAAGGGGTCCCACAGGTAAGAAAGGGTGGGGATCCCAGCTGCCTCAGGCCCTCTGCCTCCCACATCCCTGGTCGACTTACACCTGCCTTTTTCCGGAGCTCCAGCCCCAGATATGCAAATTCATACCACAAACTTC